AAGAAACAATAAAATAAAACATAAATAAAAAATAGTTTTAAGCGTTCATTACATTCTTGAGATTTCAGAAAAAGTTTTTTTTAGGAATTACTTTCACTTTTAGATATTCTTGGAGTAACTGAGAAACAGCTAAACTTAATACAACACAGACTTGTATTTTGAGTTATGTCTACGAATAATGTTTTCTATACGATATTCAAGGTTTACAAATGTAACCAATTGTAAAATTTCGTTTCAAAAATATCAAAATTAGTTTTATGTAAAGGTATTTTTGAAAATTAGAAGTTTTAATTAATCGTTTTAATTAATTAATTAAATTAACTTTAACTTTGCTATTTTTAGCTTCTTTTCTCAGAAACTAATTTTTTTATATTTCCTGTATTTTTTACGTCAAGTTTTTGTTTTCAGTCATTTCTAGAAATAAATCACAAAAACTCATTGTCGAAACAAATTCAATTTAATTCAAAGTTAATTCACTATTTTTATTTTTCTTGAAAAGTCCACATTTATTAATACAAATATTAGTAAAAATACAAATGACAGTGTTCATAAAATATCTGAAAATTATTGTGATAACGAGTTAAAACAATTATTATAGGCTGAATACAGTGTATATTAATCTTAAATTCTTGTAGTTTTCACTAAACCTTTGCTTTAAAATTGCTTTCAAAATGATGTACTCTTGAAATACGGAAACACATACTTTGGATGTTATTTGGAAACACTTTTCGTTATTGAGAGTCGTCTAGAGTGTAGACTACAGTGTAATTAGAGGTCGCCTTTCATTATAATCATAGAGTTGGTAAAGAGTACAAACGGAGTACGGAGTGTGTTGTGCTTGATGTTTCTATATAGCTATTATACCTGCACTTCACACACCATGTTACAGTCATATAAGGTGTGCGTCAACTATATTGTATAGTAAAGGGCATANTAAGGTGTGCGTCAACTATATTGTATAGTAAAGGGCATACGATATGACCAAATAAAGTAACGTTTATAGTGAGTAATGTATAAAAATTACCTAGATCAAACAAAAAATCACGTCTATGGATTAACTAAATTTACTACCTGTAGATTATAATTAATGTCTTCACTCTTTTTTAAGGAAAATTCTGAGAAAATGTTTTATTTGTTTCACTTCTTGGAAGAAAATGATAATCGATTTTAATATAACTTATCATTTTGTTGACACAATTTTCTAGACAACAAATAAAGTTCATTGTCTTCTCCTCAAAATCAAATGTCAAAACTTTTTTATTCTTATGTAATAAACAAACCATAAATTATTTCTTTTGGTAAACACATTACGTTTATTAAGCATTTAAAGGGCAATAAATTGCATGAATAATCCGAAAACAATCATAAAAATGAAATAAATTGGTGCGAGAAATAGGCAACAAAATAATGTTTAATCAAAATAAATAAGGAGTAGTTTTTACATCAAAGCAATAAATCAATGAAAAACAATAAGTATTTATGAGGCGAACAAATATGTCAACAATGAATGAGGCAATAGTTTTTAGAGCCATTAATAAAGCATATATTAAATGACTAGAAATTGTTGTAAATGTTTGTATAAATTGCTCGTATTGTACATTATGTATAGACTCTATAGAATCGTATTGTATATGAATAAAAAAATAACAATTAATAAAATCTTAATTCTCTTTTTGCAGTGAAGGCTGAGATTTGGAGTCGCCATTGATTACGTTAATCTGTTCAACGAAATTAAGTTTTAAACTAACATTAAAAAGGATTGTTTGAATCGATGATTTGGATTCTAATGGATAGATTGAAATAATGGATTGCAATGTGATTGAGAGTTAATGAGTTTACTGACCGGTTCTACGATACCATTTTGATTCTTTCCGAGGGCTTGGCCTGAAGTCCAACCCATCTTTGAAAGCATTTGAAAGCCTTTATTAGAATTCAATAACGCACTAAAAACAGGTAAATATATAAATAAATATAAATTCAAAATAGAGAGCTTTGGAAAGACATAAATTATTGGTAGACAAACACTAAACACATACGAATCGAGTGAAGTGCCGGCGGCTGTCTTTTCATAGGGATTGTCGCTTCCCTTTTCCCCTCTCCTCTTCTCAGCCCTATCCGTATAATTAGTGTTTGTAATTATCGGCGCTTTTGGTTCGCAGAAATCCACGTCTTTGAGGCCGTATTTCTTCTTAAGTGTTTTCAATTGTCGTTTGCGGTCCGACTCTTTGTCTGTTTGTTCGTACAAATTAGTCGTGTTTTGGTCGCCGATTGACTTCAAACTGGCGATTACGAGCCCCGGTTCGCATCCATCACACGTCACATCTTTGCCGTAATGGATGTGCACTAATAGCACACATTTGCCAAAACATATTTCATCGCAATGTTTCACAACAGTCTCGCAATCGGTTTCAATTTTGTTCCCATTAATGAACGTTCCGTTCGTACTGTTCAGGTCTTTAATCATGTAATTATTGTCCTCATAATTATATCGCATCTCTGCGTGACTCTAATCAACACATCAAACAACAACCAAATCAATTACAAAGTGCTTGAGTTTTGCAAAATAGCCGCAAAACCTACTCGACTAACAGATTCGTCGGTTATCCAGACGTCACAATTGGATTGATTGCCGATTTTGGCGCCCATACACGTCACCATCACTAGACTCCCGAGCTCTAGAGTCGATGAGTTCTTCACAATCATTCGTACCAATGGTGGACTCACTTCTGATTTATCTTTACATTTAATGCCATAATGTAATCGTTAATTCAAATTCAAGATTAAAAGCCAAAATCTAAAGCAAAACCTTCGTTAAAATCGTCAAAATCGTTGGAGTCGTCGGAAATGATGGATATGTCGTCCGAGTCGTCGATTTCTCCCTCTTCTTCTGAAGAGCTCACAATAATTTCAATGCTTTCCGTTTCGCTATTTTTATTGACATTTTCTGATTTATCCAAAACTCTTCTCTTTTTCTACAATAAAATTTATAATTCAATCAAAAATTTATTAATAAATAGAAATTTTAATTTAAAAAAACCTTTGAATTGTCCGAAGGTTTTGATGAATTTAATCTCTTTTTATCCATTTGTTTGAGAGATGAATAAAAATTATAGGATTTAGTGTCGAAATCGTATTTATAATAGTTTTTAGTGTTTGGATCGTAAAAAAGCGATGAATCCTATTATGACATTACAATCGGTTAGTTATTAGACATTAAAACATTCAAACAATTGTTATAACAAGTAATTACCGGATAGTAATACCAACCACTGCTTCGGCTGTAATAAGTCTTGGATTTTTGGTCATAAAGATAATCGTTTTGAAAGTCATTATTAGTGACCACTTGTTGAGCCGTTTCGCGGACTAAATCACTAATTCTTGTATTATTTGTTTCCGAGTTTTGTTTCCAATCGTTTAAAACAACACTTTTATCACAACTCAACGATTGTCTGCATTTCGGGCAAAGAGTGGTCTCTTTGTCGTTGTTGTGGGACTCGCTGTCCATTAGTGTCCAATCGGTTTGTGTGTCCACACATTTGGTCTCAATGTTGACCACATTTTGATGCAACTGAAGTTTGGCCGACAATATCGACAACTCGTGTCTCAAATCGTTGTTATGTTTCAATGAAATCTCTTTTTCTCGCAAAAGTCTTTCAATCACTTGTTTGTCATTGTCTTCATTGGACGACACTTTCGTCAATACATCCACTTCTTCGCCATTTGAGGCCATTTTCACACACAAAACAAAGTCAAACACTGAATGAAGATTTCAATACAATTCAAAACATGAGTTTAAATGCAAAACTAAATCTCATATTCAATTGAATTGACGCTAAAATCAAAACAACAAAAAACTGTAAAATATTTTTCAATCATTTCATTGGTTTCTATGGAGACGACTGTAAACAACGAGAAACACGTGTTTTAAATGCCATTCATTTGATGCGATAGTTGTCTACAATTTGCAGTCAATTGTCGTCTAATTTTGCCAATAATTTGATCCCATTTTTGAGCCAAAATGACCGACGATTATAACGACGAGGAGATAGAGAGCGACGAGGAGTCGAGCGGTGAGTCTGAGATGGAAACGGAGGGCAACGGGTCTGAAGAGCAGTCATCGATGGTTCGGCGGACGTATATTCCGACCGCTGTTAACACCGACGAAGAACTGGATTTCGATGAAAGCGCTTACCTTTTGTACAGAAAGGCTCAGACAGAGTATCCGTGTCTTAGCTTTGATATCGTTGAGGACCGGTTGGGTTCGGGCGCCGAGAGGGCCGACAACTACCCGCTGTCGACCACAATAGTGGCCGGAACTCAGTCGGGAAAAGCGGACGGAAATAAAGTATTAGTGCTTCGGATGTCAAACGTTCATCAAATCAAACATAAAGCCGATAACGAGAGCGACGACAGCGACAGCGATAGCGACGACGAAGACAATGAGCCACAACTGGATTGCATTCCCGTTGAACACAGGGGTTGTGTGAACCGAATCCGAAACATATCGGTCGACGGCAAGTGTTTGTGCGGCACGTGGTCTGAGTCGGGAACTGTCTATTTGTGGGATTTCACGCAAGCCGTGGACGCCGTCGCCGATAGCGAGCGTCTCAACGATTTCATCAAAAACAAGAGTTCAGTGAAACCTATATTCAGTTTTAATGGACACCGAATAGAAGGCTATGGTCTGGACTGGTCTTCGCTGAGACCGGGACTCCTGGCGACCGGCGATTGCAGGAAAAACATATTCATTTGGAAGCCATCGGAAGGCAGTACTTGGGCTGTGGATCAGAAAGCACTCGTTGGCCACAAAGAGTCTGTTGAAGACCTCCAATGGTCGCCGAGCGAAGAGAATGTGTTGGGCTCTTGTTCTGTGGATCAGTCGATCCGAATTTGGGACATTCGGGCCAAACAATTAGACGTGATTATTGAATCATCAAGTTAATTTTTAAACTATTGTTCACTATAAACGTTACAATGCTTTTAATCATTTGGTGCCCCATTTTTAATAATAAATAGTAAACATTAATACTTGTAATGTTCAAAGTTTGAATTTCAAACCCCATTCACAATGATTGTTAACTTTATATATGAATAATATAGTAATAGTACATAAATGACCTTTTCTATTATAAATGCTATGTGTACGCTGGTGCACTTTTTGGAATTACTAGATCTAAAGTATGTGTTTCCGTATTTTAAGAGTACATAATTTTGAAAGCACTTTTAAAGCAAAGGTTTAGTAAAAACTACAAGAATTTAAGATTAATATACACTGTATTCAGCCTATAATAATTGTTTTAACTCGTTATCACAATAATTTTTAAATATTTGATAAACACTCATTTGTATTTTTACTAATATTTGTATTAAAAAATGTTGATTTTTCAATAGAAATAAAAATAGTGAATTAACTTTGAATTAAATTGAATTTGTTTCGACAATGAGTTTTTGTGATTTATTTCTAGAAATGAAAACAAAAAATTGACTAAAAAATACAGGAAATATTTAAAAAATAAGTTTCTGCGAAAAGAAGCTAAAAATAGCAAACTTAAAGTTAATTTAATTAATTAATTAAAACGATTAATTAAAACTTCTAATTTTTAAAAATACCTTTACATAAAACTAATTTTGATATTTTTTGAAACAACATTTTACAATTGGTTACATTTGTAAACCTTGAATATCGTATAGAAAACATTATTCGTAGACATAACTCAAAATACAAGTCTGTGTTGTATTAAGTTTAGCCGTTTCTCAGTTACTCCAAGAATATCTAAAAGTGAAAGTAATTCCTAAAAAAAACTTTTTCTGAAATCTCAAGAATGTAATGAACGCTTAAAACTATTTTTTATTTATGTTTTATTTTATTGTTTCTTTTGAATAATATAACAATTCCGAAGCCTTTCTACAACAGGACTGCCCTTTAATTATCATTTTGTTGGCTTTTTCTGAAAACTTTTTCTTTTTTGGCTCATTTTCTTAGTATTTGAGATGAGATGAAAAAAATTGTTTTGAGAGTTAAGATAGACTATTAGACTCTCGGATAAGTAATATATTACATAATATGTTGAGTTGAGTATTGGTCGGAGTGGTGTCGAAGTATGCATATATTGATATTTAGTATACTATACGGTGTAGTTTACAGCGGATTCGTGTATAGTGTAAAACGATATGATGTGTGCGATTGAACAGTGGATTGTGATATTGTGTGTGTGATGTGTATTGGAGTGGTGTTGGAGTTGGAGTGCACCTGTTCAAGGTTGTGAAGGTTGTGCTCGTCAACAAACTTACAACTCGAGCCAAGCTCTCTCCTTCTCTCTCCCTCTCGATCTCCTCTCCCTCTCTCCCTCTTTCTCTCACTCACTCACTCTCTTCACCACAACTCCAATTCGCTTACAATTCACTCAACTATCGTATACTCGTAAAGACTGAAAATCTTTTGTCGAAACCATACATAAGTTTACAACTACTCTCCGCTCTCTCTGACTGACTGACACTCAGCCACTATTCCATTGAAAGATTAGAAAAAAAACTTTTTTGCTCTAAAAGTCTGCCCAGAATTGCAAGAATTGTGCGATTCATACATAACTGCAGTTAGAGTTTAGTAGAGCACAAGTCGTCTAACTTGTGTCTACAATGGGTCTGAATGTCTCAGTCATTACTTTCTACTATAATATTGGCGACACTCCGACTCGGAATCATTTGAGAAATTCCTTCTTTATATTATATTTAATACTAATTCTTAATAACTCTTTGCATTCCGTCGAAGGTATGTATCATTTCATTGACATTTTTTTCTCTTAAAAATATTCATTTGTTGTATTTCTTAAACACTTATTCTCTATGCGTTTGTTTTGTCTAATAGTTTATTAACTTTTGAAACTTTTTTACAATTAATCATAAAAGCGAGACTTTTAGACTCTCCTTATAATTGATTTGTATATTGATATTCATTAAAAACTTGTTGATATTATAATGATATAAAATTATAATAAATCTTTTATATCAAGGTTGACGTCATGCAAGTTATATGATATATCTTACAAATACTTTGAATTCTTGTGATAATTGATTATATATTTGTTTACATTTTACTTACGATTCAATTAAAAAGCTTTGTTTCTCTCAACACTCTTTCGTAAGAGAGATAGAGTTATCATCCGTTAGAAAGTTTGTTCAGTTATTTAAAGAAATGTTTGTAAGAAGGGATCAGACAGTGATTATTGAATACAACAATTGCTATCAGCCCCTCATATGTGACCCAATTTATAGACAAATCGATTTAAAAACTTAATTTTAGTTGTCTTTTCCGCAGACGGATATAGTCTTAAAATAAGTGCATTTCTATTAATGTTATGACACAATGACTTTGCCTTACATCACATCCCTATCCCATAAAATACTACTTATTCTGTACTAAATCTATGCGACGATAAATAAATCCCACGTATTCTTACTCTTGTTTTTATAATTTCGCTTCAATTGAGCGCACATTTCATAAGTGAATGAAAAACAACTCTCAAATACAAACACTCTATTTATGGCAGTTTTCAATCCCGTGATTACTCCAAACGGCGATAAACACATCCCAATAGTGTACAGAATATTTAAGAGTTTTGTAAATACCATTTATTATTATATTTGTCTCGTATTTGTTGGGTTTCTTTGCAACAAAAACAAAAAACTTGTGAAAATGTTTGTCAAAATACTGTTCGTGTTTTGCCGTATACTATAGTTAATCGTAAACTCAAATCTTTTTTATATTTCAAAAGTTGATTAGGAATTTAATATTTTTATATTTCCCTCATTTCTGTCTGAATTCTTGTCTGAATTTGAAATATAAATTTCACAAATGGTTTTAATAATAAATGGCTTTTCCGAAAGAGGAGGGAAAGGATATTTTATCAATTGATGTGTAATTATAATTCAATCTTAAAGTATTGAATCATATTATAGTAATTATAGTAAATGTTTTGATAGTGAAATAGATTTCAAGGATTGATTAGATGTGAGACTATTTTGATTAGTGTTACGCAAAAGAGGAGAATGTTATGCACTTTTGATGTTAACGATACCCTTGTCTTGCATTTGATGCCAATTCAAGGACTGCACTATTCTTTCATAATCTGTTACTTTATTTACTATAATTAGAACTAATTTCCCAAAAACTTGTATTAATTAAGAGTAGAGTTGTATTAAACGTGAAGTAATAATCTATTTATAACTATTGTTTTTCACAATTTTCCAGACAATCGCTAAATCTAAAGCAAATTTAATACTTGATAGACTAAAACACTTACATTTTCTCTATTTTTATCAAACTTTTAAATTCAATGAGAATTTGGCACAAGTTTTCAATATATTCTTTATATTTTTCAAATTAAAAGCTTATACAATGTCTAACAGTATTCGAGACATTCCTTGTATTCATTGAGTATTTATATTGTATTCATAAGACTTTCATTGAGTAATTGAATGCAAGTGCAGACCAGTGGTGGTGACAATGACTTTGAGACAAACGGTGCGAACAATTGATCTAACGGTCAGGTCAGGGACACAGTGGCACAGCGACACAGGGGTATGGCTCATAGGTCTGGCAGGTCTGGTAGGCGAGTCAGGTCTGGCAGGTCTGCTGAGGTCACTGTGGCGGCCAAAGCATACCGTTTTGGCTATTGATAGACTATGGAGTTTATGGCACAATAAACTCAGTAAACCCTGTCGTGAGGGCCGCACACAGGAGACGGACTCCGGATGTCTGTCTGAACCGTTGAACCTTTCGCTCAAACATTTAACTCCTATTATATAACGAATACAACAAAAAAGTAGTCTTTAAGTATCGGCAGCTCTACTTATATGTGGCGAACGATCGCTAAGTTTTTGTATCGAATTAGACGTAAACGCAAACCAAGAATTTCTGTATACAAAGTGCTAACCAAAAAAAAAGCATAAATCTTGTGCTCAAAAAGTGTAGATTCAAAGGTGTGAGGGTTTAGTGTGTTTAGTGGAAAGTGTGAACGATCTGACTGTGACTGACAGAGACATATGACATATGCCTCGCTATCAAAAGGAGACCATCTCCGCCCACAACCCCTCCCGTCATGTATACATATCTTTCCCTATTTATTACAATTCTCTCCTTATTCTTAAGTCTTATGAATACAATATAAATACTCAATGAATACAAGG